CAAGCTTGCACGAAAAGGCTCAAGTTTACAATAACACAACTATGTCCTCCTTCTACGACTCTAAGCCTATTACATTTGGTCGGTCGGGCGCATGGCGCCATCGCCCGCCGCCTCGATACCGCCTTTCGAGTCTCGGGGACTCTAGGGTCGGTCAAGTCAAGGATGGCCCCTTGATTCTGGTGGTCGAGACCGCAGCCGTTGGTTGGCTTGCACCGATGGCATTTCCACCGGCTTGTCGATGGCATACCCCTGCATGTGATGTCCCACCTCCGCCTGAGCTAATATCGCCAATTATCTTTGACGACAATTCCAAATGGGCCGTCCAAGCTCTTCGCCTGGTTTGGGTCTATCTCCTTGGGTACCCACCCTCCAAGCGTTCGAGGTTGATCGAGGGGGTAGTGAGCGCGCACCATGCTTAGCACATGGGCACCCGTGTACTCACCCGCCTCCTTCACGAAGTCTTGGAACCATCCCCATGCTTGCTTGCATCTCTCGACCAGTCGAGCCGACGCGTCTTAGCTCTACCTCTGTGGAGCGCCGGTCGATAAGGTCGAGGACGGGCACAATGCCGCTTGCCATTTCTTGGCACCGCTTGCTCCACATGTCCCGCTCCTCGGTGGCCTTAAGGCATTGCGCTTTCCATTAAATCACGCTCTTTGATCGCGGCCTCAAGGTGCCTCTTGGCGTTGACTTTCAAAACCGAAAACAAGACAAGATATCAAACGTGATGACACGACAAGGCCATGAGGGCAATTGAATGAGAAAGGTGGTCTGAGTGCTTACCTTTCAGTTGTCCTTCATTCTCGCTGTGTGGTCTTGGAGTTCGACCGGCGGCGTGCGGTTTCGTTTGTCCTCCTTCAGCGACCACATTCTCGCAAGCGCCACGATCGTTTCTCCCCACGAGGCGGGTCACTTCACTTTCTAAACTGCATTACAACTATATTTCAAAGAACAAAATAACACAAGTCCCGCACTTGCTATGATACGGTGAACACTTACCTGCTTTTCTCCCGCTTTTGTTTTCGAGTGACCATGACCGACTGTGCTTTGGTTCTGTGGCTTCTTGGTCTTTTCTCTCCGGTCGGCGGTTTCAAGTTGGCGTCATGAAGCGATCCACTTCACCGTCGGCCTCCTTATTGGTCATCATGATTCCTTCTATCCGGTCAAGCACCTTTTTCGGTATCTTGCGCTTTTCATCAAGTCCCGCACACGCACAAGTTACGTCGATACTTCGACTACACAACAGGGTCAACGACTAAAGCCAAATATACCGGACTTCGGTCCACCAGGCGCAACGCCTGTTCGACTCTTATGGTCTCTTCGATCTCGGATTTCCTCGTGTATGACCCATTCGTCGTTTCCGAAAGCGCGACACATATACATGTTGTCGCCATCTTGGGGACGGCCCAGACTTCTTCCACTTCATCCTCTTGATTTCTGTCGGGGGCGGCATCGGGTCCGGGATTCGCAGACTCCACGCTCACCGTGGCTTTCCCACGAGTCGTCGCGTCGGCAACCATGTTCCGGGCAACTTCGTCACGCCCTCGGTCGATCCAGCTCCACAGGCGCCGTGGTATCCGCCTCATCGGTGTTCGTGCTTGAGCACTTGTATTCTCGCTTCGGGGGCCGCGGCGTCGGTCGTTCGCTTCTTGAGGCCAGCGGAGTCCTCGCCATGGGCTCCTCCACGGCCGTTGCTTTGGCGCTTTGTCCCGCCGTTGTTGGTAAGGACGTTCGCACTCCAAATAGCTGGTCGGGGCTTTCGGTGACGCCGATCTAATACATTCGAGAGACAAATTCGAAGATAACAGCATCAATGCAAGACGCAAAGCTTACATCAAAAAGTATAGATACTTACGCTTTTGACTTGCGAAAGGATGTGACGGCGAACGTCTCGACCGCCTCGCTCCGCTTGCTTGCTCGGCGTTGTCCACTGGGTTTGTGCAACCTCCGTGCAGGCGTCGGAGTATGATGCGGCGTGTTCCTTCGTCTATGCTCGTGTATTGCGATGGTCGGTCTTGTTACCACTATGTACGCCGCACGAGGAGCCACCTCGCCCGACGGTCCCACCTTTTCTCCTCTTTCGGGGACGAGCCGAGGATATCCGCATCCTCTTCTTCGTCGTCCGGCGAAGGAAGATGGCTTGACGTCGTTCTTGTCGGCAGCGGACGCTTGCCGCCGCTCTCTAGTCGAGGCGTCCTCTACGGTCTCGAGTACCGCCCGATGAAACGCCATCGGTCCGGGCGCCTGGTCTCATGCGCGGGTAGCCCGGAGGCTTGTGGCCATTCTACACCGGGGAGGCGACACAAACACTCTGCCCGGTCTCGACCATTACATCGAGACACAAAATGAAGTAAAAGACGCTTATTTTCTTGATGCGACATGATTCTACAGCTAAAAAGGTGGCGTCATTTACCTTTGGGGAGGGCGAGCCACTTGAAGGCGTGTTCGATGGCGTCCAATGCAACATAATTGGGATCGGCCGAGTTGAATAGCTCTCCAATCCTCGGCCTTGATTTCCACCTTGTCGGCGGCTCCTTCCCGGTCCTCGTCGGATCGGCGCCTCCTTGGTACTCGAGGCGGGGTGAATCCTTTTCTGGCAGGCTGGATTCTTGGTGATGAAGTTGCCGACAACGCCGGGCCATCAAGCCTTCCCCACGGATCATCCCGAAGCAGTTCGGCGATCTGCTCCAAGTTCTCGGCTTCTCCGACCAGTGCTTTTCTTCTGGAATCGGTCCCACATCGCACAGGTGAGTGATGGTGTTCGGCTCTTCACGGATGTAGAACCATTTCTTGTACCACTTTCGTCAAGGAGGTGTTCCAGGCGGTCAGGTATTGAGCCTTCATGCCGCCACGCGAGTTCAAGTAAACGCCACCGGCGATCTTGAGCCACCGCTCCCTTTCTTCCAAGACAGAATAGGTGGCGGAAGAGGTCGAAATAAGGGTTGGAAGCCACCATAAGCCTCGCGAGAGATGGATGAAGGTGGAGACAAGAAGAATCGAGTTGGGATGCGATTGCAAATCCCAATCTCGTAGTACAAGCAGAGACCACGAAGGAAAGGGTGCACTGGAATCCCAAAACCCCGTTTGAAGAAATCTTCAAAGACCACAATCTCACACGGTTGTGGATCGGGAAGCTTTCTCCTACCGTGCACGCCATCCCGCAAGTGCCTTGTTGTGGAGCACCCCATGGCGACGAGGTCCTCGATGGTGCCGCTTTCGTTGTTCGCGATTTCCACCATTCCTTCGCCATGACCTCGCTTTTCTTCGGCGTCTCCCTTCGCCATTAGGTCGTGCTTCCTAAGTGGGTGGATGCAGGAGACCGAGGGGATTGGTGATGCTTTTGGGGCAATAGGGTTCGGCGGAGGAAGAAGAAGGTTGCGGCGCGCGGATGACAATGGGGAACGGTATGAGTAGCTTACCGGATCGCATTATATAAAACAACGAGCCCCGTCGTTTCGTCTGCCTGAGAATATTGGGGTCGTCTTGCCTACTGCGCAGAGGGTTGTTCACACAACCTCAAATCTGCGCCAATAAATGCGCTACTTCATTAACGATGTACGTGCCTCCCGTTGATGGTGTAAGGAGGCCCACACCGACACACCTCAATCTGTGTCAACCAACCTGTTTGCAAAAAAAAAAAAAAAAATGTAATGACGTCTGCGTACCTATTGACTTTTTGACCGAACGTGTCGATCGGTGGTCTTGGCGGAGAATAGAGAAAAGTACACAAAATAATAGTACAAGCAAATATAAGTGATCGTGGATTTGTTTTGACCACTCATGTGCTTGGATACCGCCTGCACCACTAATGTGCTCGGGGACCGCATGCACCACTCACTGCTCTCGCACCACTTTTTGTGCTCGGGGATCGCTCAGACCACGGCGTGCTGGGACCCCCGACACCACCGCTTGAATAATGGCTCTCCTTGGCTACATGTGATTTGTACTCACATACGCTAAGAGACTTTTTCTTTTAGACCTTGCTACAAGGCTCATACCTCGCCTTTCAAAGAAGCTCGGGGACTACATCGATGCGATGCACTGCGGTGCATCTCGTATCGCTTGTACGACGATTGGATTCTCAACTTAATCTGGAATTCTTTTTAGACTCGGCACCACGTGCCTCACGTCACCTACTACCGTGCTCGGGGACTAAGTGGGCACACTTCACCTTGCGCGTGAATGTGTTTGTTTTTCAACCCTACGCCTCGATGATCGAGGATGCTACGCTTCAAGACGCACTTACATTTCTTTTCGTAAATACAAGTGGGCACACTTCTCGTGACAAATCTTTTTCTTTTTTTCTTAAGAGCACCATACATTCTTCGGACAACCTACTTCTCCGGTGATGACGGTGGTGGAGGCGTCAAGAATTCAAGCCTTGCTTGTCGGAGAAGGTTAAAATGGCGTGTCGCAAATAATACATGATGCTCGGGGACTAGCTGGGGGTATTAACCCCTATACCCTTACTGGCTAAGCTTGGGTTGGCCTGGATCGATAGGTTCATCCACCCGAAAGATGACGTATGCCCGATTAACTTTGATCGAGTCCCGCACAAGGAATCAAGATTTGATTTGGCGACCAAGGAGATCTCGTCGATTAGAATAGGAATCCTTATCCGCCACATATGGCAATTGTAACCGACTAGGATTAGTTTCAGATCTGTAACCCCGCCTTCGGACTATATAAAGGCGGGCGGGGACCCCTCTAAAATCATCTCTCATTGACATACAAAGAATACAAATCGGACGCAGGACGTAGGTATTACGCCTTCTTGGTGGCGAACTCGGATAAAACCTCGTGGTCTGCCTCTTGCGTCACCGTCTTGTTTGGGACTTGCGCTTTGTCTGCCGATAATCTACTACCTTGGGCATACCCCTAGGTAGACTCGCCACCATATTTCGTCGACAGGGGTTCGGCTCGTCCCTGTGCCTCAATCCACGTGACCATGGAGTCGGCAAGCTTGTTGAAGTAGCCATCCACCTTACCGAGCTTTGCCCTCACCGCTTGGCCAACTCGAGGTAGCACTTTTGGACCGTGGTGGCCTCCTTTGGAAGGGAGACCGACCGGAAGAACGGGATCGACTCTTCTTGCCGGAAGATGCCGTTGTATTCCTTCTTCGAGTTCACAAACAGGTTGCTTGCTTTGTTTGTGCGGATGTAGGGTAGGCCGGTCTTCACACCCGTGCCCGTATGATCCGTAATCACCGTGTGTGTTGCAGCGAGATAAGACATTGGCGTGGTTTTGTCGAGACAAAGATAATGAACTAAGACATAAGAAAAATCACCGGGCAATTTACAATCAATAAGCATCACTTGGTAATAGCAACTAGCTCACACAACACAAGTTCTTACAACCAATTGTGGGCCATGGAATTGTTTTTGTTGCGCTTATGGGCATAACAGAATGCAAATAGGAAGGTGATAACGGAATATACCTTTGTGCACCATCCTGCCCACATATCATCGTAGCGACCAATAGGTGGCCATCACCCATAAGACCAAAGTACATTGCAGGACCAATGAGCTCACGGTCAAATGCAAGGTTCATTCCACACATAGGGAAGAGAGTGCCCTTCGGGATTGTAAGAATAGCATCCACATACCTGATTTCAAGAAAGAAACACCGCTTAGTAAAAGGCGACCACCGAATGATGGAACCTACCGAAATGTAGCATTTTTACCTGGTGTTTCTCTCTCAAGGGCTTAACAAAGTGGGTAGGGGCATCATAGTCTCGAATGTTGAGCCAAAGCCCGTGAGAAACAGCGGTTGGGACACCCTCACGAAGGTCAAGGGGTACCCACGAACAAAATCGGGCGCCAACACGGTAAGGGTCATACAAAGTATTGAAGAAAAATGGAGTAGAAGGGCTCAGGAGGTTTTTGATATGCTGCTCAAGTGCATTGATGTCCTTCCCTGATGGATCCTTGGCAACCTGAAAGTTTTGAAAAGCCATAGCTCAGCAGTTAGCATTTTGCCTAAACACATACAGAGTATCTCTTGGACTAAAATATGCCATCATACTCAATGGCTATAAAATTTATACTGAAAGGGGTGGGCATGTGCGATTGTTAGTTTCAGCTGCCAACAAAC